TTTGGGCACCTGGTGATTGGAAGCTTCATCACGACAATGTGCCCACTCATGCATTATGTGTTGTGCAGGGTTTTTTTGCAAAAATGTCAAATTACTGAGGTGACTCAGCCCCCCTAACAATCCAGATTTGGCACCCTGGGACTTCAGGCTTTTTCCAAAACTAAAATCACCTTTGAAAGGGAAGAGATTTCAGACTGTTGATGAGATTCAGAAAAATATAAAGGGGCAGCTGATAGCTATTGGGAGAACTGTGTGAGGCCCCGAGGTGCCTCCTTTGAAGGCTACTGAGGCGTCGTTGTCCTATGAACAATGGTTCTTGTAGCTTTTTCAGTAAATGTCTTTTTTTTTTTTAATAGCACATGTCTGGATACTTTCTGGACAGACCTCATAAGCAGATTTGTACCACTTAGCTATATATTGCCTCTTTTACTTTCTTACAGTTATCATTTGTGAAGGTTTGAACAATGTAACAGATACCAGTTTGCTTCATGCATTTGCTAACATAATCAGTCTTTCAGCTTTTAAAAAATCTTCAGTTAGACTTTAAAAATTGAGCTTAAAAATATTTGGTATTAGGTTTGTAAAAGAGTTTATTGTCATTTGTGTTACTTCTTTGTTGCATTAAAAAAATTCTCACCCTAGGATATACTTATTGATCGTGGAGAGAAAAGAGAGACAGAGGGAAAGACCTTTATGTGATGTCTCCCATACACGCCTTGACCAGGGATGGAATCCGCATCCTAGGTCCTGGTATCAAACTGGCAACTTTCTGTGGTACGGGACAGCACTCCAACCAGCTGAGCCACCCAACAAGGGTGCACTTTGAAAATGTAACTAAAGTTTAGAGTATTTGTGTCTGGTAAACTAATCTACAGTTGGATTACTGGGTATAGTTATGATGTCTTGAGACGATAGGCTGTTAATATAATTATTAAATATTTATGATGACAGTTAAAAGTTTTCATATTCTTGAATAGTCTCCCCAACTCAGAAGGAAATGTGTTTGGAAATATGTTTGGAAATGGGGTCCAGTACTTGACTTCTTGTTCATCTGAGTTAGGTATAGGTAATATTATTTAAAATAAGAAATATATTTATTCTTCCTCAGTTTTTTGGCAGAGAGCTCCTAAAACCCTTGGAATATCCTAAGTGTAAGAGTGATAAGGTGGCTTGTTCAACCACACCTTAGTTTATGTTAATGAGGTGACTTTTAGAATGCGTCTTAGGCTGCAGGCTGGTTGCCAGGCGATCAAACTTGATAAGAGATTTGAAACTTTCAGCCCCACTCCCACTTGAGAATAGTTGTAGGTTGAATCAGTTGCCAATAGCCAATGACACAAAGGGACCAGATTCTTAAAGCTCCTTCCCACATACCTTGCCCTCTATATCTCTTGAGCACTGGTTGTGCCTGAGTGTGTGCTTTTATAATAAACTGGCAAGGTAGGAAGTAAATGTTTTCCTGAGTTCTTTGAATGGCTCTAGCAAGTTAATGAAGCCCAAGGATGGGTTTTTGGGAACTCTGATTTATAGGTAATTGATTAGAAGCACAGGTGACGCCTGGACTGTTGATGGACACGTGAAGGGGGAGGGCAGTCTTATAAGACTGAGTCTTTAACCTGTGAAATCTTATGCTATTTCCCAGTAGAAAGTGTCAAAATTGACTTGATCAGCAAAACAAACAAGGAAGCAAAATATAAACAGAGACATTGGAATAAAGAACAGATTGATGATAACCAGAGAGGAGGGCAGAGGAGGATAATGGGGGAAAGAAGGGGAAGGGTAGGCAAGGAACATGTTTAAAAAGGATCCATGGACAAAGCCAAAGTGTGGGGGGTTAGGATTGAGGGTGGGATGTGGGGGTTGGTGGGACAGTGGGAAATGGGGGAAATGGAGACAATTGTACTTGAAAAACAATAAAAAATAAATATATTTTAAAAATTGGGTTGAATTGTAGGACAGTTGCTGATGACATAGAATTGCTTGATGGGTGAAAGCCATCAAGCATTTTCCGGTGTCAGAAATGAAGTAGTGTCGTGCAGTGAGTATTGCCAGAAGAGGAGACACGCAGGTAGAGGGTGTGTTTCTTTATTGTGTGTGTATGCATTTTTTTTTCTTGGCTGATGACTATTTCACTGGGTGCAATTAAGACAGTATTTGCTTTACTGCAAACAGAAAACTTTGCTACACTTGCATTCCTGGAATTGACCACTAGGTGTCATGAATGCCACAGGAGCCCTAAGGGTTACCCAGGGCTTCTGGAAATCGGACATTGTAAGCTCGTAGACCTTCACATATTTCACTGTTTCCACATGATAGGTGCCAAAAGAACCTGATACAGTGTGATATATAGAAGCAAGGAACAACTGGAATAATGAAATTTCAAAAATAAGCCTTTTTAAGGAGGGTTGTAATAGTTCTGTTGGGTATTGTAAATGCTTCAGGTGCACTTGATACTGCTGTTATGTTCCTGGCTCTCTCTTTTTTATGGAAAGATGGATTGAACTTCAATTTAAGAATATTCGGTAATCCCTCTCAGGACATACTGTAACAGCTGGTATTTTTGCGTTGTAGAAAATCGATTCCATACAACAGTCAGTGATAATTATGGCTGGGTTCTGACAAATTCCAATGTATTTTCAATAAATTTAGCCAAAAAACCCATGATTACGACAATAATTTAGCTCAATTTGAAACTTAAACCCAGCAACTCTGCTCTGTTTTACAAAATCTTGAACATTTTAGTTGTAGGGATTATATCAAACCATTTATTTTTTATTATACTTATATATGTTCTGAGAAGATGATTACATTGTAGCCTATATTTCTCAAATATATGACTTTGGAAAAATTTAACCTTGAGTGTTCATTATGAAATAAAAAAAGAGAAATGCTAAGTTTGTACAAATATGGGATATGTGTACAGCAGCAGTAACAACTCTGAAGGATGTTTTGATATAGAATGTAAGGTTTAGTATTAATAGAATGTTTGATATAAGCATGTTTGCTTAGTATATGGTATTTGTGGCTTATAAAAGTGAAACATTGGATTTTTTTAAGAGATGAAGAAATTAGTTTCCATGGTATATGTATTTCTGTAGTTATGCAATCTGCACCCTATAAATTTGAAGTTATGGCATAAAGAGCTTACAGACAGACACACGTAATAATCACCTGCCCAAGTACACACACACACACACACACACACGACCCTTATGTGTGTGCATACACCTGACAAATTCTAACCCTCTTACCCTTTTTCTTAGCAGCAAAACAAAAATTTACTAATTGAATGCATTTTTTAAATTATTTATGGTCTGTTTTTTACTTTGTGTTTAAATTTAGGAACACTTTTATGTAATTGACTCTTAATCCAGATTTTTAGAATAATTTATAAAAGCAGGGTTGCCTTTTAAAATTCTTAGAGAAAACAGCTTCAGAAATGACCACTAATTAAATTTTGCTATGTCTTTTCCTCTCTTTTTTTTTATTTCGAACTTAGTGATTTATATTTTTATTTGGTATTTAAAGTTACTGCCCTCATTTTAATGAACACTCCTCTCCATGTGGGTTTAGAGGCATATTTTAACTCTGTCATCTTTTGTAATTATAGAAAATAAAATTTAAGACATTGCACCAGGTTGGCTGGTCTAAGGTAATCTATTTGATGTGATTTTTTTCCTATGAACATTCTCTTTGACAATTAAAAAGCTAATTTGGAAGGCTCTAATAGAATTTTACAGTTTGGACCTTTTCCAGTGAGATTTGGCAAGCTCATTTATTATTCGGTAATACGAATCATCAATTTAAAGGCTTTAGAATCGAAGTGAGGCAGTTTTTCAGGTGTTTACAATGTCTGTTTTTTCTGTTAATACGTGTTAAAATATGCTTTTAAATTATTGAATTTTCTTTATAGAGAACTGGGGAAAATGCATTAAAAATGAACTTAAACACATTGGCTCTTTTTTGATTTCTAAAAATGCAAATACAGTGTATGTTACTAGGCAGCAGTGGTCTAAAGTTAAATCGCAGGGTCTCCTTCTGGGTGTCAGGACAACATAGATTTTAATCTTGCTACTTTCTTTTGTGTTTACACTTTGTAATCTCATTACCTGTATTAACAACTCCCATGGTTGTAATAGCCAGCCCTTATTGTTTGCTGGTCAGGTATTGTGTTGTGTGCCTTATCATATTTAATTATCAAACAGTTTTAAATTGCTGTTATCTTCATTTGCATACTAGGAGTTTAAGATTAAATTACTGTCCCAGATCCCAGAGTTAGCAGGATTAGAGATTAGGCCAAACTCTAGAGTAATTGCTCTTTGCTACTATATAGTGGTTCCTTTACTATTTATTTTGGGATAAACATTAGTTAAAATAACTGTTGAAAAATATCGATATTTTCCAAGATACCTGGAAGCTTTGTTTTTACTAATAGAATTACTTTTGTATATTAGTTTTGATTGTTTTACTTTAGATTATTAGCACTCCTGTAAATCTATATAATATCTTGCTTCAATTCTACTCGTCTTGCAAAGATTACTTGCAGTTTTCAGTTAGAGAACTTTGCAGTCGTCATATTAGGATGAGCTCTTTTTAAAAATAACAAGTAGTTATAAGTTGTCGACAATTTATAATTTCTGTTCTATATTAGAAATTTAGCTTAGAATTATGATTAACAGTGGGAAGGAATTTTTGAATGGCACTGGCTTACAGAAGCATCTTTAAGTTTTCCATCTATGCATTCATTAGTCCTCCAACTAACAGAAAATTCTTTTAAGGAAGCCTCAGTATATCCATGAAAAACTTTTATATTTTTAATTAGAAATTTCACATCAGAATGAAAAACTCTCACACTTAATATTTGTGTGTAGCATGTAGAAAAAAATTTTGAAGAATTGTGGTCTCTCTGGTAATATGTTGGAATACGAATTAGTTATAGAATGTTGCAGTTGAGTAATCCTTCTTTTTGTTATTGTTTTAAACTATTTTTTTCTTTGTAGAAACGGCCCGTGCGATATATATAAATCTTGGTAGACAGCGTGGCTGCAGGCCGTTGAGCTCGAATTCCCTGTGGCTTTCTGAGCCAAGAGCATTTGCTTGGAGCGTGGAGTCCAGCCTGCAAGCTGCATCATGCCAGCTTTGTCAACAGGCTCCGGCAGTGACACAGGTATGTGAACCTGAGAGGGGAGGGGCGCTTTCCTTCCATCCTTACTTAAATCTTTTTGTTCACAGTGAAAAACAGCATTGCTTTAAGCAAGTGCAAACCGGTCATGCTTTTTGTTCTGCTACCAAGATGAGGGGCATAGAATCAATGTATCCTCCCAAGGTCAAAGTTACCAAAGGGCACTGACTGCTGCATCCAGGTAGTGGTGGCTTATGTTAATCCTCTTGCACTGTCTTTTTGCATAACATTATTTATTTACATTTCTTTTTAAGTATTTTAAACATACAGAAAAGGGTGGGAAACAAAGTAGTCTCCCCTTACCTGTGGAGGATACTGCCCAAGACCTCCAGTGGATGCCCAAAACTGCAGACAAAACCCTATAGGTACTATGTTTTTCCCTATACCACATCCCTATGATAAAGTTTAATGCATAAATTAGGCTTAGTAAGAGATGGACAACAACTCCTACTAATAAAATAGAACAACATACTGTAACAAAAGTTACATGCATGTGGCATTATTAAGTAGAATAAGGGTTACTTGGACACAAGCACTGTGAGACCGTGGCAGTCTGGTAACTGGGGACTGCTAAGTGACCAACCGGCGGGGAGAGTGTGCATCGTGCATACGCTGGGCAAGGGGTGATTCATGTCTGGGGCAGGGCAGAGAGGGATGGCTCGAGATTTCATCACGATACACAGAACAGTGGGCACTTTACAACTAATGAATTGTTTATTTCTGGAATTTTCCATTCAGTATTTTTGGACCATGGTTGACCTCGGAAAGTGAAACCACAGATGGGGGGGGGGAACTACTGTGCGGTGATATTTATATTAACCTTCACTCAGGTTTAATAACATATAGGAGTTTTTTGCCATACTTTAGACTTCTCACTTCTTTAAAAAATAAAACATTATTACTACCCCATTCTTGCATTTTCTTTCTTTCCGGGGCAAGAGGTAAAAACTATTCTGATGTTGAAGTATGTCATTAAGAGATTCAATTAAAACACATATTTCACTTTATTTTTTATTTTTATTTTTTTATTGTTCTGTTATAGTATTTCACTTTATTATCATCAGTTGCAAGATTTAGTGATACTTAGAATAAAGATCCCCCAAAAGGGAAAAAACTCATGCTTATAAGCATGTGTGAAATCCCCTCCTTCTGACCTGATTCAGGAGGTGGGGTCGGGTAGTCTGTTCCCCTTTGAAGTGTACTGGGTTTCCCCAGAATCAGCTCTCTTAAAAAATGCAGATTTCTGGACCCTTCCTAGAACTATTAAAACAGAATGTTGAGTGGGTTGAGGAGCTATGCCACATATTGTAAAGACCCCTCAAAAGAAGTGTGGTAATCATTGTAGTGGGAAAGCCAGTGGAGGTGGAAGAGAACATGGGGGGGATAAATGGTAATTGAAAAAAAATACAACAGAAGAAGAAAACTGCAAGGATACTTACGTAATGTTAACTGTCATTGTCCTAGATTATAGGACTGTGGGTAACCCAGTTTTTAAACTTACGTTAATTTTTCTGTACTTTCCACACTAAATACGATTTTGTAACAAAAAGAAAAAACAAAAGCAGTGGTTGAATAGATTGTGACTAAAAAGAAAGTTCTGTGTATTGCACTGACAATTCTGAATTTGGTTCTGTTAATAGCATTCTAAAACCAGATGAAATACTGTCTCACGCTGGACAGTTACTGGCACCATAATATTTGTAAAGCTGAGTCACAGATTTGACTTTGTGTTGTATTATGTTACATTGGCATTTTCATTTGCAATGTTTGCAATATCATTCGTTGCTATTTAAAGCATATTTACACTTATATTTTGGCAAGTTTTGTCTCATCTTTATCCATCAAGAGTGATTTTTTTCCTACTGTGATTTACACTGAGGTTTAGTTGTTTTTTGGGGGGTGATTTTGATTTTTAAGTTACATAAAAATCTTTTTTCTTAAGACATAAATAACTTGGAAGCCAGGAATTTTTTTTTATATAGTCCCACATTGTGTTGTACTATATAAAATGAATGATTTAACTTTCCATAGTGGTTTGGGAAATTATAGATAAAATTTATTTGAATCATAAATTTACTACAGTTGTGTAATGAATTTAAGTTTTATGCCTTGGTATTCACCAAAAATGCCTTAGTTTAATTCAACACAAAATAGCGTTGCTTACCTCTAACTCAGGGAATGATTAAAGTGGAGCATATATAGTTTATAAGGAGGCAGTTTAGTTGTCAGTCATGAAAAATAGCATAGGCTATTTAGAATTTGAAAAGGACTTTTCCATACAAAGCTGGCTTACTTGGTGCAAATCTCAGATGGCTATGTGATTCACCCTTGGCTTTGTGATATTTTTGACCCTATGTTCCAACAAGGTTTGAATCAGGCAGAAAAGACATGCCTATTCCAAGAATCACTGCATTTAGGGAAGCTCCAAAGTACAGTGTACCTATCAGACGTTAATGGTTTTCTTGCAGTTTCTCGCAGACCAGATGCTGTTTAGCAGTCAGGGGTCATGTATACCGTGAGCAGTGTTGCTTAGCAATGCTGCTGCTGCCATTCCCATTACCAGGTCTCCAGGGGAACAGCGCTGGGAAGCTAACTCTTGGGCAGATGCAGCTGCAGCAGAAGGGCACCCGCTCACAGAGTGCACACTTCTCCTGTGGCAAGGTACTCTCAATGTAAAACTTGTCCTACTTCTTCTTCTTTCTGCTTACTTCATGAAGCAAAGCAATTTTTAATTACACAAGTAATAAAAACATCCTAATTGTCAAAGATGCCTAGATAAAAAAGGATGGAACTCTTATTCCCACCCTTCCCCTAGTCTCATTTTGTCTCAGTTGGAGGGGCATCCTGCAAGAGTTTTCTGTACGTTGGACACTTAGATGAGTATGTACATAAGTGTGTTGTTTTATGCCTTTTAATATTTTTAAATCACAGATTCTGTCACACTCCACGGATTGTGTTGTAACTTTCTATACCAAGTCATATATCCTGGGGAGGTATTTCACGGGAGTGGTGTGTATGTATGGATGTGTCTGTCTCTGCATGCATCTGTATATCTGCCTCATTTTTTTAAGCTAATGTGTTGTTTTCCATAGTATCACGGTATAGGGAACCAGACTACTGTTAGTGAAAACCCTGGTTTTGATCCTTTTGTAATATTTTGGGAGAAAAGATATGCACATTTAATGGATATTGTCAAATTGTTTTCAGAGTGGATACACCACTTAATCCATTGGTACTGCATTAAAGATCCTTTCTTCCACATTCTTGCCAAATATTCAATACTGTCAGTTTATATATATATATTTTTTTAACAATCTGATGGGGAAAACATGGTGTCTTAAGTGTTAAATGTTCATTTCTACTGACATTGAGCATATTTCCATTTATTTAATGTCCACTTATTTCTCTGTAAATTGTCTATGTCCTCTCCCCATTTTTCTGTTGCTTTATCATTGTATTTATTTGCAGAATTTTCTTATTTGCATTTTATATATTGCTCCTTTGGGTCATTTTAGTTTGCATACCATTACTTATGGCCAATCATTTGTCCTTTTTTCTTTATTATTATTATCGCTATAATTATTTATCCTTACCTGAGGACATGCATATTGGTTTTTAGAGAGAGAGGAAGGCAGTGAGGTGAGAGGGAGAGAGATGCAAGAAACATCGATTGGTGTACCTTTCACAGGCACTCTGGGGACCAAACCCTCAACACAGACAGGCACATGTCCCGACTGGGAGATGAACCCCCGACTTTTCATTTTATGGGACGATGCTTCAACCAACTAAGCCACTCTGGCCAGGGCCTTTTTTTCTTTCCTAAATAGTATAATTTCTTTTGTAGAAGTTGAAAACTTTCATGTAGAGAAAATCTTTTCTGTATGGTGGTTAATGCTTTTTTTTTTTTTTTTTGCTGAGTATGACCATTCTTTTCATGAAGATATTCACTAAGGTTTTTCTTCTAATGATTTTCAAAATTTGGATTTTCACATTTGGAGTTTTAGGCCAACTGTGATTTATATGTGAAGTGAGACAGTAAGGGGTTACCAAAATGAACAGCCAATAGTCCCAGCATCACTTGTTCAAAAGGCTATCCTTTTAACATAAATTTGTAATACTCCCTCTTTCACACACCAGCAGTACATATGTTCTGGGTTTTCTTTCTTGGCTATTGTGATATATTGATCTTATTAAAAAAAATAATGGACTTTATTTTTGGGTAATTTCATACTTACAGAAAGATTATGGAGAAGTACAGAGAGTTCCAGTATACCTTACATCCTCTTTCCCTGATTATTAACATCATAATTAGTTTGTTACATTAATTTCAACTAATGGATCAATATTGATACATTGTTGTCAACTAAAATCTGCACTTCATTCAGGTTTTATTAGTTTTCCCTAATACCCTTTTTCTGTTCCAGGATCTCATATTACATTTAGTTGTCATTGTACATTAGGTTCCTGTTGGCTCTGGAGGTGTCTCAAATTTCCCTTGTTTTTGATGGCTTTGATAGTTTCCAGGGGTCCTGGTCAGGTATGTTGTAGAATTTCCCTCTATTGGAATTTGTCTGATGTAAAGTACTATTGCCAACTTTCTATAAAGATGTGTCCTAGGTAAACATGGTTCCTTGCACAACTACATCATAATTACAATGAAAATATAGAGCAACCATCACTCACAACCATCAGAAACCAAGTTGAATGGAAGTCTACAACTACGAAATTTAAAAAACCACATCCATCCAGATTGGTAGGAGGGGTAGAGATGCAGAACAGGCTGGTCCACACCATGTGTGGTGGATAAAAATTTGGGAGGGATATCTGAGGAACAAGGAGTCCCAGCCCCAGACCAGATCCCCCACCCCAGGGTTCTAGTATTAGAACATAAGTCCCCATAACTTCTGGCTGCAAAAACCAGTGGGGATTGAGTAGGTGGTAGAAGCTTCTGTTAGTCCCTAACAGTCCCTCTTAAAGAACCCCCC